CCTTCTGACTTTATGATTTTGGCCCATGGGACAAAAATGTTTGGACACCCCTGGTTTAAATGAAATGTTGAATATGAAGTAAAAAAAAAAAAAGTTTATCGATCCCTTGGCTTCTTCTTAAAAAAGATATTAAGAAGTAGAGATAATCAAATCAGCCAAAAATTAGTTATAATTGGCAAAGGAATAAGGAAAAAAATCTTTGAGATTTGCAATTTAATCACAGCATCTCCATAGCAACACTCAAGTCATATCTGAAATGAATAGGTGATGGACGAAAAGCACAACCACATAATGTAAAAAAAAAAAAAAAAAAGACACAAAGGAGGATTAAATTGAACAAGAAAAAAAAGGAAGAAAAAAAGTTATTTTGCTGCACAAAACTGAGTCAAAACAGCTCGGAAGCCTTTTTGTGAAGAAAACACACACGGTGTGCCATGGCAACACAAATCTTCCTTCTGTTGCTGTTTTTTTTTTTTTTTTCGACTGTCTGGCAAATCCACCTCTTGTTTTCAAAGCACTTTTTTTTCCTCTCTCTCCCTCTCTTTCTAACAGGTGCAAAACCTCTCAACTCAGCACATCAAAGGGGCTCGTGCACCTGCGAATAAATCACAGCGAATGGTAAGAATCCAGACTGCGGAGCCTCGTAACACCAAAGAGGTCTGATTTAATATTCATGAGCTACAAGGCTTTGGTGGTTGAACGCTTGTGWCTTTTGTCCTTGGAAGAAGGTTTTGATGCGTCAGCGAGTCACTGAATTTTCATGTACCTGTGGTCTCTCGCCTCGCAGGACTGTCACACAAACAAGTCTTGCGGGATACTGACGTTTACCGACACAATGTTTCACCGTGAGATCTTTGGAGAGTTTCTTGCCAGGCTGCAGCGGTTCTGATCATGAAGGCCCTCGTGCATCATTAAGAAATGTTTCTGTCCCTGTGGCTTTATTTAGGTTATGTGTGTAAAACTCAGGGTCCACAGGTGTCTTATGATTCGATGCAACAAAATAAACAATTTAAAAGGTGAAAGATGCTGTTGGCTTTGAGTAACTGTGGCCTCCTGAGTGATTTAGCTGAATAGCCCTACATTAATGTCTCAAAATAAGCTACTTTGAAGCCAGCRTTGATTGTAAACTACATCATRAAATGTTTGATTTACTTAACCATGTTATGTTRCCTGGTTCCACTTAACTGAGTTGAGTAAATTCAAAGCAACTTGTTCTTTGGTTAAAAAACTGGTATATTGCTTTGAATTTACTCAACTCAGTTAAGTGGAACCAGGYAACATCACATGGTTATTTAAATCCAACATTTCAGTTTTTTACAGTGCATAATGCATGTTGATTATGGGAATTCCTTGTGGGAATGTTCACAACACAACAGTGAGTAAAACCCTTTTACTTTCACTTTTATTAGTTTGTCTGTATTATTCAATTCACATTCAGTCAGTCACACATGTAGTACTTTTCAGCGTTTTTAAGAGATGTTAAACACTGTTTATATGCAGGAAATACCACATAGAGCCCAGCTACTGTTTGTTRGCGGTGCTCAGTCGTAGCAATGAGCCGAGTAACGTGGCCATTGGTCTGAACGTGACTTTAGTCACATTTAAACACAAAAAAGTCAAKTTAATTACAGTGGGCCCTGTGAGGGCCGCCATCATGTGGCCCTTAGTGAAAATGAGTTGGACACCCCCTGATTCAGGCAACATTCAGCCACCCATGTGGTCAAAATAGGGTTGAAACAGAGCTCATAACCAAAAAGTGTTTAATCWCTATAATCCTCTCATTCTACTGCCTTTTAATTGTCACCTGTGTGCACCCAGGGATCTTTTTTTGGCATTGATTTGTAAAATAAGCTTGAGATTAAGTGACAAGAAGTCACAATTTCATATGGATGCAAAATGAACTTCTTTGAATGTGAATGAGCCAATTACAAATGCTTGAAACAGAGCTTGTGAGAAAAGCCTGCCTCCCCAGTGAGCACTTACAGGAAAAAAAACCAAGCAACAAACAGCTGGTCTGAACATACACTGGAGAAAACATCCACTTTAAACGGAGTGGTGAGGAATTCTCTTCGCTGTTTTTTCTCCCACACGTCCTCCTCACACAGAAACAAACTCATCCCATTGATCCCATGGGGGTGAAACAAACCCGTCTACCATGACTCAAATCAGACTTATTACATTTCTCATGCTCTAATGTAATGTCTTCATGTTGAAATAGACTGACAAAAGCTTGATCTTTTTTTTCTGGTAATTATTTCCCACAAGTAAAAAAAAATCCACCTTTTTTTTTTCAAAGCCTGAGTTTTATTGTTACTAGATCTCTTATGCAGAAATAATACAGAAGGTTCATGTAAACCTGCTGCCCCCTGCTGGTAAAACTGTAGATTAGCAAATGCAGTCTTCACACWGCATAAAARGTAAGAAAATTWKAKTTTGGTAGATTATTATTATTTGTTGTAACAAAGCTTCTTGGCAATAAAYCTTATATTAGCAGCACCTGGGGGGTATCAGAAACTCAAAACAAGTGTCAACGCCAACTGCAAAATAAACTATTTGTCAGAAAAGATTTGTCAAGTTTTTCATGTGCACAACCCACATACTCGGCTCTACTGCCCATCCCACAATTGCGTGTTCCTTACAAATGTTGCACATTTACAAGGGAATTTAACAAGATTTATAATATTTATTGCCAAGAAGCATTGTTATAACTTTTTATTTTTATTTTGTCCATCCATACATCCATTATCTGTACCCGGTTCTTCCTTTCAGGGTCACGGGGGTCACTGGTGCCCATATCCAGCAGTCACAGTGCGAGAGGCGGGGTGCTCCCTGGACAGGTCGCAAGTCCAGTCCAAGTTTATTTTATTTTATTATTTAACCAGGCAAAACCCATTGAGGTTGCAGATCTCTTTTGCAAGGGCGGCCTGGGACTGAAGGCGACCTACTGTACGGGTTTTTGGGTTGTGGGGGAAACCGAAGTACCTGGAGAAAACCCATGCAAGCACGAGTAGAACATGCAAACTCCGCACAGAAAAAAACCCAGGTTGGGAAACAAAAAAATAATAAACTACCAAACTCAAATTTCCTTATGTTTTGTGCCAAGTTTAAATTGGTGCTTTTATGAATTCATTTTAAAAAAGATACCTTTAATATCTACAAGCATTATGAAAAATGTACCACAATWCACACCAATAATAACACGTTGAAGACGCTTGTCTTTATGGGTCCCACCTGTTTGACGTTCAGCTTAAACTCAAGAGCCATTTAAAAAAAAAGAGCATCTTTATTCAAGTTTCATTGAAGTCTGTTCTGTTCATCAGTGTCTAAAACGCAGAAACTTTTCAGTATTTGGCACGAGCTGAATGACAAGTAGCGGCCAGCACTTCCAGAGACTCTCTGATGTTTGAGTTATCTCGTCCGAACCACATGAACTGCTCCCCTGCCTGARCCTTTGCTGCCTCTTCTGACCTCAGCTTGTGGTTCCGGGGGAACCGCCTGGTTCTGTTTGGACCATCGGCGGTCACCACTGATGTGAAGTCTTTTTGGTAAGTACTGAGGTTGCCGGTGGTCTTCTCGACGCTGCCGTCGGCATCACAGAAACGGAAATGGGAATCGTGCAGTCTGAGATAACTGGAAGACTTCTTCCGTCCCAAACCCTGGTGTACCGGCACAGAAGAGATACTGTTGAAGATTTTTGAAACCAGGTTGCAGATCAAAGCATTTAAAATATCCTGTTTCACACAACATACTTACACGAGAGAAGAGCATAACGCTGTCTTTTAAAGCATGCTTGTTGTCATGGCAAGACGCTGGATAGTCTCTGGATTTCTGTAAAGAATCACAAATAAGACAAATTATTTTCCCCCCAGGGCCCTTGAAGGCTAACAAAGAAGCCAAACACACACCTGTTCCTTTTTCCATTTAGGATATTGTTCAGAGTTTAAAATCTGAGGCCACATCTTCACTTGACTCTGCGTAATTCCGGTGGTTGTACAAGTTTCCCGAGTTTTAATCTCACTTTCTGAAGAATTCGGATGAGCAAACTGAAACAAAATTGTAGATAAAGCTAGTAACACAACCAGGTTTTTTTTAAGTGAATAAAAAAAATCGTACCCATTTGCCTCCATTGTTCATAGAAGAATCAGGATTTTGTCTTCTGACCATGTTGATGGGGTGACTGAGCAGTTTAACCAACAACACAACACACAGGCTGTACAACAACTAATTCAAACACCGGTGACTATGGAGACGTGCAGCAAACAACCTGGTCACCAGGGACATGTGGAATTTTTACAGTAAAATGAAAAACACGCATTTTTATTTGAAATGGGAATAAAACTTCAAAAAGTTTCACAAACTATTGTTTGAAAATTATTGATGCAGCATTTATCGCTGCTAAATGAATGCATTTCTTCCATTTCACAAATGTTTTGTCCTAATCTGAATTAAGAATAAATTCCTCAGAATAAATTAGATGATAAAGTTTCTTGTAATTGGTTTTTGTTTGTTTCTCTTTTATCCCAGAGGTCTTTGGTGAATTGTGTTCTCTTTTAATTCTTGGAAGTGTGATTTCCAAGATCACATTTTTAATCCACTTCCTACAAATCAAATCGCAGTCTCGTGCAGAGTAAAGATTTCCTGTTATTTACAGAAAACGAGGAAATTTCATACTGTCAATTCTACGCTGACAAATGTTTGTAAAGTGTCAAACTTTCTTCATAGATTTATTTTAGATCAGATTAAAACGTTGGCTGATATTTCTGATATACATTTTCCATTTTAACTTRTGCTTCGCAAACATAAATGTTTACAGTGTTACATTTAAACACACAGCTTGCAAATGCAAAATGTTAAAATAGGCTGGTTTATACAGTATCATAAATTTAGTTAAAAAAACATTAGCCATAACCAGTTGAAATCAGGAACAACTCTTTGATAGTATCACTAATGAACGAAAATCAAAAGTAATATAAAAAATTTAAACTACGTATATAGATCATGTGAAATTCAAAAATAAGGATAAACCTGTCAGATTAAGTCATTGATTACACTTCAGTTTTCCTTCAGTTTTTGAAGCCTTGAAACATGAGCACAGTGATGTTTATGATCCTAAAGGGATGGCAGATTCCTGCTGAAGCTGAAAATCAGTTGTAGTCTGCGCGTTCTTCGTCGTGTCGCTTCCTGTAGACAAAATGAACGGTTGAAAACCTTTGAGTAGAAATATATCGAATCAAGACACAGCTATTTGTTGCTACCCTGCTCATTGGCAAAATAAAATCCTTCTCTGTAAGACATGTACCATTCAAAGAGCTCATCGCGGTAGGAGCAATCTTTTTCCTTCTCTCCCCACGAAGGCACTTCTTCAGCCGTTTGCTCAGATCTTGACACCTGACGACGAAAGTAATTCCAGAAACAAATTAATGCAGCTACTGACAATCAGAGTGATCAAACCTTTTTAAAACACAAGATATCCCTCGTTTTTGTTCTTACCTTTCCTGTTTGTCGTTGTACCTATTCAGCCTGTCTGCCGCCTCCTCCTTCTCCTTCATCCACCGCTGCAGAAATTGCTCTCTGTCTCTATGAGCCTGCTCCGAAGCCTGTTTGAGTCCACTCTGCTCCAAGCGCAGAGCTGCTAACTCTTTGGACTGACACTCAGCGGTGTACTCATATTCTAAAAGGGATGCCTTCAGGTTCTTATTCGTTTTAGCCAGCGTCAGAGCCTCGTGGCGGTACTGGGACACTCTGGAAAAGACAGATAACAATTTATTGATCACGTCACATTGATTCATGATAGATTGTAAGTCACAAGTTTMGTGACTTGAAATGATTTGTTCTTTTATTTTCAGTTACATGATTCACCTTAATCGTTTGGTTACACCATTCATTACAATAWAAATTTTTTGTCAAAATAGCTCTATTTATTATTAATTCTTAACTTGGATTGCACGATGAATAAAACTGTTCTTCATAAACTCTATGAAGCAAAATATTTGCAGATACAGATTGCAAATTACCGTGAACGCCAGTATTGCAGCTCAGCTTCTTTCAGATACAAGCTGGAGGTTAGGTCAGAGACAGTTTGAGACAACTGAGGAGAAAATAAATAAATAAATAAATAAATAAATAAATAAATAAATAAATAAATAAATAAATAAATATTAGGAGGGAAAAACAGTTTACAGGTCATAGCCTGGCAGCCTGCACATAATAACAAGAAAAACGCTTCCCGCTATGACCAAAATAACATTAAAATTCTCATTTTACATGGCAAATAGGTTCCAAAATCTATTTTCTCTAGTATGTCTTGAACAAATGCCTGATGTTTAGCTAAAACATTATGCAAACACATGCAGTGATAGCCCATTTTTGAATTGCACCTCATTACCTTGTCTGCCAGGTGTTCAGTTTCTCTCAGCTGCAGTTGAAGATCGATGGTTTTCCCAACTTCTGGCTCCAAACTAAAAATATTTTTTTTTAAACAAAAGCTGAGAATTTATTGGGGGATAAAGATCTCCAAGAAAGTGAATTTCTGTTTCTCTAATCTAACCTCTTACTGTGAATATCATCAAATATCTGTTTGCGGATATCAAAACGTTCCTGCAGCTGAGACACTGGAAGAAAACACACACACATACTGTATATATAGTAAAACTGGTACAGTGATTATCAGAAACAAAATACTAACAGAAATCTATGAATTGGTCTTACAGCTCGTGAAAATGCCAACAAATGGAAGTTTCTCTCCATCATCTCTCTGCAGAAGTTGCACTCGTATGTGACTCTTCCAGCTTCCCATATTAAATAAACTCAGTTTACCTAAGTTGTTGTTGTTGTTTTTTTTTTTTTTTTTCAAGTAAAGGATTGGCTGTGATTTAATCGGTTTGGGCGAAAATGAAATAATCAATAACATGGGGTCAGTGGAACAAGAATTCACATCTCAAATTTCACAGCTCCACCCTTCAGTCAGCTGACATTCCTCACCTGGATAGAACTTCTGACCTAATCCAGCACATGCACTTGATTTTGCGCATCAGTATCTCTTGTTTATATTTTTGTTTTTCAATTAATACGTTTTTGATTAAACSTGTCGTGTAATAAACGTGTTTACAACTATAAAACAATCGCAGCGTGTTTCAGGAAATTTCACAATAAAAGACGTCAAAACAAAGCAGAAAACGCCGAACGTTTCTAGAAAGAAACCTTTCAAAGTACTTCCGGGTTAACACGTATTCCATAACCCTTTCTTTTAGGGGAAATATTGTTGCTGCAGAAATCTGCAGGTTATTTTTTTTATCGTTCTAAAGACCAACATTTTAAAAAYTGAAATATGAATGATTTTTTTAAAGTTAAAATCCAAAATAAGAAGACATGTCTTGTCGCTCTTACATTGCCACCGGAAGTTGTTTGCTTAATGCTAACGTGCGCTCAGAGATGTGTGGCTGCTGGTGGACAAAAAGGTAAAGTTACAGGGTTGTCAATCAAGTAACCATAGACTAAACATTGTTGGGGTTAAAAAAAATTAAATAAAGCTCTTCGTTTGAGTGTCTTTTAGCATTAGTTTAGCATCCGAATTGTGCAACTTGATGTTTTTGCGCTCTCGTTAAGCTAGTAGCTTGACAAAATTGACATGTAAACACCGGGGAAGATTTACTTTATTGTTAAATTTAACGCACGGCATTTGCTATCAAGGCAGTGCATAGTATAGATTTTCCCAAACAATTATATTTTTTCCACAGGTTAGGACTTGGTCAGTGTTAACGGGGGTAAACAGTTTGTCCAGTATGAGCTCATCATCAGCTGGGGACGGACCAGAACCTGGGAGTCCCCTTGATAATCAAGCAAAGGAAGAGATTGGGGGTGTTACCTGCACAGGAGACTACAGCAGACAGGTGAGTAACTTACCTGAGCAACTCTATCTGAGCTGTGTATGCACTAGATGTGTCCCTTTTTGCCACTTGAGTTATACACTGTGTAACTGTCAAACATAAGAACAAAGATTTTAATTTAATTGTCATTTATTCGGTATCCTAAAACTTTAACTGTCTTTCTGTTTTTCGTATGTGAAATGTAGGAGTCTGCAATTTGCTTAGGGAATGGAGAAGTGAAAAGCTGTGCTGTGGTCAAGTACTCTGCAGCCCCACCTCCGACCACCTATGCCCTCCTGCAGGAGAAAACAGACCTGAAGCTTCCACCTGCAAACTGGCTGAGGGAAAACCCCCAGCTGGGCAGTGCTGGCACCACCGTGTTGGGCTCCAGCAGCAAATGCAAGCCTTTCTCCAGGTAAAAGCAAACATTTTCATTGGTCTCATTAAGGTTGCAAGATACTGGAAGATATACATACTTTTTTTGTATTTGTTTATTCTTTATACAATCTATTATAATATTATAGGAGTGTGTTGGGAAAGTGACTTGTAAACCTTAAAAAAGGGCATAGTTTTAAGTTCTAATAACAGTCATCAGTCATATTTTAAGGGGGTTTGAAGAGGGTAAATAAAGACAGCAAAGCAGAGATCTGTACTTTATTACTAGTTATTGTGACCTAGCTGAGTTATAAACAGATATGTTGAAGCTCATTTTTATCTTTGCAGTTTTGGGATGGCCTATGACTTCATTGATTGCATTGGGGATGATGTTGATGTGGTGTCAGACTCTGAGGTTTGTTAAACTTTTTCACAACTCATAGCTGTTTCTTATTTTTCTACAACACACACACACACACACAGCTGGTTTGACCATTTATGTTTTTTTTGTTTGTTTGGTTTTTTTTTTAGAACATCAAGAAGCTTTTGAAAATTCCCTACAGCAAATCCCATGTTAGCATGGCCGTTCACCGTGTTGGAAGGACGCTGCTTTTGGATGAGCTGGACATTCAGGAACTCTTAAGAAGATCCTCTCAGGTAAAGCTGTGCATATTCTAACGAGCCTCTTAAACGTTAGTATTTATATGACAACTTCATTATTTCTTGAAATGTATGGGTTGCAGACAGGAGACTGGATGTGGCTCAAAGAGATTTATCAGCGGCTAATAGATCAAAAATGGCAGAGAAAAAAGAAGAGCAAAGAGCACTGGTATCAGAAGGCCATTCTGTCAAAGTTTCTGTACTATAGGTGAGTATTTGTCAATTCTTTGAACAAAGGTAGGGTTTGGTCAAGGTGTAACTTCTCTTGGAAGAAATACGAAGAAAATAGAGTGGGGAGATTTTATACATTTGATACACTTAATTTTTCAGGTTTTCCCACTTGCAAAGCTTGTAGATGACTGTAATTTTTATCATAGGTAATCTTCAACTGTGAGTGATGGAATCTAAAACAAAAATCCAGAAAAATACAATGTATGATTTTTAAATAATTAATTTCCATTTTATTGTGTGAAATAAATATTTGATACACCAGAAAAATGAAACTTAATATTTGGTACAGAAACCTTTGTTTGCAATTACAGAGATCAGAGGTTTCCTGTAGTTCTTGACCAGGTTTGCACACACTGCAGCAGGGATTTTGGCCCACTCCTCCATACAGATCTCCAGAGCCTGCAGGTTTCGGGGCTGTCGCTGGGCCACACGGACTTTAAGCTCCCTCCAAAGATTTTCTATTGGATTCAGGTCTGGAGACTGGCTAGGCCACTCCAGGACCTTAAGATGTTTCCTACGGAGCCACTCTTTAGTTGCCCTGGCTGTGTGTTTTGGGTCGTTATCATGCTGGAAGACCCAGCCACGACCCATCTTCAGTGCTCTTACTGAGGGAAGGAGGTTGTTGGWCAAAATCTCACGATACATGGCCCCATCCATCCTTCCCACAATATGGTGCAGTCGTCCTGTCCCCTTTGCAGAAAAGCATCCCCAAAGAATGATGTTTCCACCGCCATGCTTCACGGTTGGGATGGTGTTCTTGGGGTTGTACTCATCATTCTTCTTCCTCCAAACATGACGAGTGGAGTTTAAACCAAAAAGTTCTATTTTTGTCTCATCAGACCACATGACCTTCTCCCATTCCTCCTCTGGATCATTCAGATGGTCATTTGCAAACATCAGACGGGCTTTGACATGCGTTGGCTTGAGGAAGGGCACCTTGCGTGCACTGCAGGATTTTAATCCTTGACGGCGTAGAGTGTTACTGATTGYTTTCTTTGAGACTGTGGTCCCAGCTCTRTTCAGGTCATTGACCAGGTCCTGCCRTGTAGTTCTGGGCTCATTCCTCACCTTCCTCAAGATCAATGATGCTCCACGAGGTGAGATCTTGCATGGCGCCCCAGACCGAGGGAGATTTTCCGTTATTTTGTATTTCTTCCATTTTCTAATAATTGCACCAACTGTTGTTGCCTTCTCACCAAGCTGCTTGCCTATTGTCCTGTAGCCCATCCCAGCCTTGTGCAGGTCTACAATTTTATCCCTGATGTCCTTACACAGCTCTCTGGTCTTGGGCATTGTGGAGATGCTGGAGTCTGATTGATTGAGTGTGTGGACAGGTGTCTTTTATACAGGTAACGAGTTCAAACAGGTGCAGTTAATACAGGTAATGAGTGGAGAACAGGAGGGCTTCTTAAAGAAGAACTAACATGTCTGTGAGAGCCAAAATTCTTACTGGTTGATAGATGATCAAATACTTATTTCACACAATAAAATGGAAATTAATTATTTAAAAATCATACATTGTATTTTTCTGGATTTTTGTTTTAGATTCCATCACTCACAGTTGAAGAGTACCTATGATAAAAATTACAGTCATCTACAAGCTTTGCAAGTGGGAAAACCTGAAAAATCAACAGTGTATCAAGTACTTGTTCTCCCCACTGTAAGGACAGCAGTAATTACTAGCACAAACATGGAGAGTAGAGTTAGTAAAAACAGCTGCAGAGGGAGGAAATGTGGTCAAAAGGAAAGTCTTATGTCTAGTCTTAAAAGCAGACAGGTAGACAGTTTTCAGAATGCTCTTTATTTTTCTACAGTATAAATGGCGATGGGGCTGCAGAGCCCGTATCAGACGACATGACTCAAAGCGATGAAGAGGATGGTGCAGAGGAGTTCAGCTCTTCATGGCCTGCCACTTTCACCAGCACAATGACTAATGCAGAAGAATCAGTTACTCCTCAACAGGTAGCTTAACTTGTGCATATTTATTTAAATTTAGTGTGTAAGACAAAGTTATTAATCTCAATATCGCTCTCTTCTGAGAACAATTTAAGTCATTTTCAAACCTTTTTTTTTAGGTGTAAAATAGTAGAAAAGCCTTAACTCGAAGTACTGATTTTCCAATGTGCAGGAAAGCGTTTCTGTGGATAGTAAGTTGGCTTTGGGTCAGGTGACATCCGTACCTAGAGAGCAAAACCTCCCTACTCTGTTCAATGAAGGGGAAAACAGTCAGGTAAAAACAATATATTAATGTTTTTTTTTAACATAAGACTGCGACAGCCAGTAATTTGTCTACTATCTAAACATGAATGGTTTGTTTTTCAGGGTTTGAGGAACGACTTTGTGCGAAACATCATGTGGACGTTTGAAGACATCCACATGTTGGTTGGGTCCAACATGCCAATTTTCGGAGGCGGTCGCTATCCTGCCGTCAGTCTGAGACTCAGGTTTGAGATTTTGTTTGTTTTTGCATTAGCTACATTTACATGGACTAATGTAATCGGATTAAACGGCCATTCGGAATAAAAATGTGTCATGTAAACACCCCATTATGATTATTCTGACCCGATTCAGCTCGATCCGAATGAATTTGTAATCRGAATGAGAGGGGTGGTTTTTGCTGATTGATAATCTGAATGACGTGCATGTAAACACTTAATCCGATCATTTTATTCTGATAGTTGAAAACTGACCTGACTGCGCATGTCTGCTGACTTTCATCCACCGGTTTCTGCTCTTTTGTGGAGGGAGGAGCAGCAGCGCTGTATAGTTTCCAGCAGCACAGAACTTTTCCTCCCGTTTTCTCATTCARTCAAGGAAGACACAAAGCCTGCGCCACTTCACCAAAAATAAATAAATAAATAAATCCGCGCGTCACCTGCAGCTCAACCAGGGAGTGCAGTAACATCTTCACCGTTATTAAAACCCATCGCTGGTCCATTCTGGGCACTCAGAAGACATTTCTTTATGTTCATCACGGAAGTAAAACTTCTGTGTTTTTTTTTTTGTGTTTTTTTTTAGAGAAAGTTGACATCTCTGCACATGTCAGTGCTTCTATTCTGAATAAAAGCCTGGTGCTTGTAAATACTCGTCATGATCGTATTGTGCCCATGAAAGGAATGAATTCGAATTATTTAATCCGAATACATTTCAATCCGATCAAAGAATTATGTGCATGTTGCACATAGCTAGTGTCTGAAATACTTGACATTTTTAGCTATGTTATTACAATGTAAAGGCATGGTTTGTTACTCATTCTGTTTTTTTTTTTTTTTTTTTTTTTTTTTTTCAGGGACAGCAATAAACCAATCAACATTTTGACCGGTATCGACTACTGGCTTGACAATCTAATGTGCAACGTCCCAGAACTTGTCATGTGTTTTCATGTCAATGGCATTGTTCAGGTATGTTACTGTATATTTGCTGGATTATTGTTTTAAATAGGAAATGATGCCTATTCTTTAAAAATAATGTTGAAAATGCATTGAAATACAAAACAGTTTCTTTTACTTCACGTTTAAAAAGATTCCTTTGCTTTGATGTTGTCTTTTTCCTTCAGAAATATGAAATGATCAAAACAGAAGATATCCCTCATTTGGAGAACTCGACATTCTCTACGAGGGTAGTAAAAGACATCGCCCAAAATGTTTTGTCCTTTCTGAAGTCCAACTGCACAAAAGAGGGTCACACCTACTGGCTTTTCAAAGGTGGAGAAAGACATTTTTAGGATCGATTGTTTACTGTTGTACTACACTGTGTTTATCTAACAGGCTGAACTGTCACATCTTGTTTTCACAGCTAGTGGAAGTGACATTGTGAAGCTTTATGATCTTACCACCCTGTGTGAAGAAGCTGAAGAGGAGAACTATCAGAATCCCTTCACTCTACCTGTTGCTGTGTTATTGTACAAGTGAGTGCCTGTGTTTTCTGGATAGGACTATCTTTGTGCTCTACGRCTTTTAATGATTGAAAATGAACGTATGCCTGGTTCACACAGAAAGATCATTATGCAGATTTTTGCCTTTCCGACARTCTTAAGGACACCTTTATCGTGACGTCTCTAAAGATAATCTGATGAGATATTCCTGCCTGGTGTGGTGTAGGGCTGCAACAACGAATCGATAAAATTGATAAAAATCGATTATTAAAAGCATTGGCAATAAATTTCATTATTGATTTGTTGTGTCGCGTGATTTATGCGTCCCTCGCCGTGTCGCGGAGCCGTTTACGTCACCCGCAGAGCGTTGTCAATGC